TTACCTCATTTGAATTTTTTTTTCTTTTTTTTCGCATTAAAATTTTCATAGTTGAAAATAAGTTTAAAAAAAAAAAAAAAAAAAAAAAAAAAAAAACATTTTTACTTATTCACTCTCACGGTTGAAATGTTTTTCCTTTTTTTTAAATAATTATTTCATCGGTTTAAAAAAAAAAAAAATGGAAACCAAGAGGTTAAAACGTATAGATAAATGATAAAAATTTAAATATATATATTGTTAAAGCCCAAATAATCCAAAACGATTTAAAGAGAAATAATAAAATAAATAAATAAATAATTGTATTTATATTCAAATACAAACAGGAGATTCGAGTTTATGTTTAAAAATTTAGATCAAACTTTATTTTCAGAGGAAGTTCAATTTTCCATTTTTTTTTTTTTTAAACCGTTTCACTATTTTTTTTTTTTTTTTTTATATTAACTCATTTATAAGCCCTTAATCCCGTGGTCACCCTCAGGAAACGCAGTAACTTTTTTTTTTTTTTTTTTGTTTGTTAAAATAATTTTTTTTTATTTTCAAACGAAAATAACAAATACATATAGATACCAACAAAAAAAAAAAAAAGTCCATACTCGAGCTCAAAGCCACATAATCCTCCTTTTATGAAATGCAATAGTTAAAAAAAAAAAACAACGACGACAAAAAAAATTTTTTTTTAACTCCTGCTTACCTACGGAGGGAAAAAAAGGTCCAAAAAAAAGAGAGAGATGTGGAGATGGTGGTGGTGGTGATGTTGGTGGTCCATCCAAAGAAATCATCTTTTTACAATAAAGGATTCATATTGTAAAACCTTTTATTGTTTTCTATTATTTTTTATAAATTTAATTTTTCCTTACTCACCCCTCCCCCCATAACCTTTTCCCCCGGTTTCTCTTTTAATATTTTCCTTTTTAAAATTCTTTCATACCTAAATTCCCTCCCCCTTCTTCCCCTTTCTCCCCCCATTATTATTAAATAATGTAAAGTTTATGTATTATATTGTCCTTTTTCATTTCTCAAATTAACAACACACAGATTTTTTCGTTATCTATTTATTTATTTATTTAAATAAAAATCTTTAAATTCGATATTTCAACGGAAAAAAAAACTCGTGGGAATAAAATAATAATAATAATAATAATAAGTAAAATGTGATGTAATAATGTCACGGTTATTTAAAAACCATTAAAATGTGTATATAAAATGTCGAAGAAACAAAAAAAAAGAAAAAGAAAAAACAAAAAATTCCTTATTAGTGGGCGTATTATCATTATTATTATCATTATTATTATTATTATTATTATTATTTTCCATTAATTATTTAACAAAATGCATAAAGTTATACTAAACGAGTGAATACAAGATTTTATAATGAAAGGATAGGATATTTTATTATTATTATAATGAAGTGTATTTGGGAGGGGGAAGAGGGAAGGGGGGGTTAGGATGAAATGTTTTGTAATTTACTTCGTTTTGGGAGAACTTTATGATAAAATGATCAAAGAACGTTAAGCACTAAGAGCAGAGAGGAAAATAGAGAGACAGAAGGAAAACTAAACATTCAAACATTCGGCAGGAGATTTATTTGTATGGAAGAGCAATTAATCTCAGGCTTGAGGCTAATCCCACTTCGGTAATAACGAAGCGAATCTGTAAATCAAGTTAGAGAGAGAGAGAGAGAGAGATGAGAAGGACTCTTTTGCATCCCTAACCCATTC